AGGGTTCAGGGGAATGGCAGGGTAGGGGAGACAGGAAAAAATGAGGAGCTGATATCAAAGGGCTCAAGAAGGAAGATAATGTTTAGAAATTGTTGATGCCAATAATTGTACATGTCCGTTTGATATACTGGATTTTTGTAAGAGGAATAAAATGATTTATTATAAAAAATAAATAAATAAAAGTATGGGTTACTAGCTTGTTTTTTATTATTGAGTATCATATATATACATAATGGGACATTTAAAAATTTGTGGGAAAATAAATTTTAAAATAATGGAATTCTTCCACAAACTGTTTAAACTCCCCCTGCCTCTCCACGTGTTATATAAAAGTGTGGCAAAGAAACTAGATGGTGCCTGGCACACTAAAGGGTCCTTGGCTGCAGAAAGAATAGCATCTGAGGGTTTGAAGGTTTGTCTTCAAGCAAGCAGCCATCTAAATGAGGCGTCAAGGAAGCGCACCTGGAAGAAGTTCACGCCTGTGTGATCTAAGGGTTGTAAACAATATAATCCCAATCTGAAGGAAGGAGTGGTATCAGAGTTTGAATTGCGAACACAATTCAGAAGACTATGGGTGACATGAAAGCCCAAAATCTTATTTGCAAGGTCCACACATAGATCAAGTCTCCAGTGAATATCCTCTAACCATAGTCAAGGAATGTCAATAACTTTGTTATCAGACAGAGAGCACTGTGAAGTCGATTATGGTAGATATAGTTAGGTTATAGCTTATCTCCCTGTCGACCCATTTAAAAATTGTTTCGGTTTGAAGAAAAAAAAAAAGTGAAGGGGAAATATACATGGGTTGAACCTCCAGTGAGTCCCCTCTGACCATACACCCAGGAAAGTGGGTTGTGGCAGATGTAATTAGGTAAAAATTTAATACCTTATCATTTTATCTCCCTTTTGACCCATTTTAAAGTTCTAGTCTTTAATATGTTCCACTTTCTTTTTGATTGAGGTTTCCTCTTATATTTTGTTATTGTTTATTTTTACATGTTTTTCTTTATATGAAATCCATGATACATAAATCTATATGGACAGTATTAATATCATTTCCCATTACAGATAAGGACTGACATTTTAAAAGGCCTAAGTCACAGAGCTAAGCATTGGAGCCTATGCATAGACTAAAATTAATCTGATTCTAAAGCTATGTTCTTTGTGGTAATGAATTTAATAAATTTCTCTGCTATCATTTGGATGCATTTCTTTCATGTTGGGAGTATAAGTGTAATGAACTACAAGCCGTTTTATATACATTTGAACATAAAGTCATGTAGGATTTTTTTTTCACTGAGTAATACTCTAATAATTAGGAAGGCCATAATGTTATAATTTTATTGTTAAATAACTATTTGTATTATAAGTAATCGACACTTGCTACTTTTTGTAATAGCCAGAACTAAATAAAAAAATGTTATTCTTGATAACTTGACTCATATTACTCCTTGCCAAGACTTTTGCAGTTCTCTAATTGGTTTTTCTGCTTCTACTCAAACCTTATTTTATGTGAGAGTTTATAAGATTCGGACTGAATTCCTTGCCCAATTTAAAATTCACTGAGTCAGGTTGACTCAAAAGCAGTGGGTATCAGGATATTTGCTCCCTTGCAAACAAAGTCTTCCTGATCTAGACCATCTCTCTTTCTAGTACCGCTTCCCACCACAGTTTTTGATGAGCACCCTGAGTTCCAATCATAGGGAGCTAAGTACAAGTCTAGAAATAGTACTAGCCATCTTTAATCGTCCAGATTCTTCCTGTGTTTTCTCTCCCACCCCAATGCAGTCTTCTTCCTCTGTTTCGTTTTGCCTGAAAGTTTTCTGCTCTTCCTTAGAAACGGAGCTTTGTATGTTCCTGCATAAGACAGTGATGGTCAGGCTTCTTCCTTGTTTCCATGGCTACCATATAGCACTGGTCACATTGTATCATCATTATGATAATTCTTTGGAAGCAAGGACCATATCTGTCTTCATAAATGTTCAATAAATGTTTATTGAATCTAAAATCTCTCTTCAAGACAGACTTTATTTTCATAAATCTTGATATGTCCTTTATGGAAATACTTTTCTGTAATTTAAAATAATATTAATTTCTATAATTTAGTTCACATAAGCTAATAAAAAGTATTGTGATTGAGTTTTTAAAATATGAGCTTATCTAGACCAACTGGAGTTTACTACCCCCCCAAAAAGAAACCTTTGAAAAAACAAGAATAATGATGTCATCATATTTCTGTTATCTCTTAAAATTGACACTTTCATTTTACTTACAAGAATTTTTAATGTATGTTAAATACATAAAGCATGGTAAAATTCGAAAGCTATTAGGGAGCCTCTGCATTAGCTTTTATTTTATTACAATTTTTAGAAATTAAGAGTTCCATAAATATTTTAAACTTGTTGGGGAGTTTTTATGTAATAGTAGTTGAAAAGTTAGTATTTTAAGAAATTCCCTTATTAATGACTATGACAAAAATGATACTTAACAAACTGCTAGGTATGTTTCATTTATACATCTCCACATCTTTAGGTAGTGGCTTTAAAAAATTTAAATAAAGACTTTTTATTTTCTTTCAGCTCAGAATGTGACAACATTCAAAACTTAGTGATACTCTTACCTTGTTTACATTTACACTGATGTATTTCATTTTGAAGTAACATTATACTATTAGCTTTCAAATTAAATTTTAGTGCTCAAGAGAAAAGGATGAAACTGAAAAGTTCAGTCAGTCATTTCCTT